AAATATTAGTAAGTAAGAAATTATAATATTTACTTAAAACCATTGCATCTACTATATCAGATGAATAATGATTATCCTATTTTAAACAACAATGATATTTCTTCTGATTCAAAATATAAACCTAAATCTATTGATGAATTGTGTATGAACCCTAGAAAACTGAAAGATGTTAAACAAATATTGTTCAATGATATGTTAATAGAGAATAAATACAAAATTTTAGTACTGACAGGACCGTCTGGTTCATGTAAAACAACAATGTTAAAATTGTTAATTAAACAATACTATAATGAGAACAAAAATATGTTCCAAAACTTTACAATTACAAATAACAATAACACTTCTCCTTATAATGAAAATAATTGTATTATTGAATATGATCCACTGGATAAAAGTATAAAATTTAAAGATTTTCTAAATAACTGTAAAATATTTAAAAAGAATACAAGTTTAATGAAGTTTATTGTTATAAAACATTTACCTAATATTTATTATGATAAAATTCATACAGAATTTATCAACTGTATTAATGAATGGCTTGATGATGAGTTTAATGATTTGCTTCCTCCTTTAATTTTAATTATTAGTGAATGTGATATACCAAAAAGTGTAACAGAAGATATTACCAGGAATAACACATTTAACAAATTTGATATAAATAATCATTATATTCCAGAAACTATTTTCAATAAAGAAATACTACTGCATCCAAAATTAAAAAAAGTGAATGTGAATAAAATTGCTAAAACTTATTTAAAAAAACAATTAACGAAAGTATTAAAAAATGAATTACAAATAAATTCAAAAGTTAAATTGCCAAATGTTAAAAAATATGACAGTTTGGTTGATAAATTATCAGAAATAGGAGATTTGCCATCAGCAATCATTCAATTACAACAATATATTCAAACACCATTTTTATTATCTGATCATCTAACAAATGATACAAATAAAGACACTGGATTATCAATTTTCCATGCTATGGGGAAAATAATATACGGAACTAAAGAAGAGAATGTATTTAATGAAGATATTATAGAGAAACTTTGTAAAGACTATCAACAATACACAGACTCTATTTTCAAAATGAGTCTTTTAGAAAATATTGATATAGGTTGTAATGATTTGAAAAATTTTAGTGAAATTGTAAATAACTTCTCTGAGACTGATTTGATGGATAATACCTTAGGAACAGAAGTTTATTTAAGAAAAATCAGACAATCTATGGATGTTAAGGGAAACAGTAATAAAAAAGCTATCTCTGGGTTAAAATTTACACCTTTTTTCAAAGTTTATAAAAAGAGACAACATTCTTATAAAGAATATAGAGATTTTCAATCATTGGATGGATTAGTTACGGAGAATTTTAAAATTTTGAAGGATATTATTTTATGGTCAGGTTACCATGATCCCATCATCAAAAAATTTTACTACAATAAATATAAAGCATGGAAGGAATATAAGTTGAGTTTGGGAGAAAGTATTTTAAATTACAATGGAATGGGATCTGATATTGATCCTGATATTACATATTTGAATAAATTGGGAGGTGAATATGGAAGTATTACCAGTGTAAATGAAATTGAACTACAAGATAACAATGGTTATTTTTTCAATAGCAAATATTATACATATTTGAATAAACAAAATAATAAGAATAAAAATAAATCAATAGATATTGAGGATAATGAGATGCCGTATGATCCAAATATAGATGATTTTGAAATAGAAGAATCAGATGTTGATTCGAGTAGCAATAGTAATTCCACTGACGATGATGATGATGAATTGTTTCAGTTAACTTCACAACAAATTCAAAAAGCTCAGCAATCAAATATTTCCAAACAAACATCAAAGAAATTTAAAAAAGATAAAGAAGAGAAAAAAGTTAACTTATCAGTATCTTCAGACTCATATGATTCAGATGAAGAATTATTTCAACTAACATCACAGCATATACAAAACATGAATAAATCTAAAATATAAGATATAAAACACGACAAAAAAACAAAAAACAATAATCATTATTTCAAGTTTATAAATACTAATATCAAAATATTATTTGAGAATTTTCTATATCTCTCTTTTTTTTTTTTTTTACAAAGTGTTTAAATAAATACAAAACTAAAAGGCTCTAACTACATTTAAAAAGGAAAAAAAAATGTTTTAGTTTTTTTTTTTTTGTTTTTTTTTTTTCAATTTTTATTAATTCAAGATGATAGAGATTGAGCAAAAAAATCTGGGTCTTCTTCTAAACTTTCTTTAATAATATCTAAACCACCAACAAGTTCACCATTGAAGTATAATTGTGGGAAAGTTGGCCAGTCAGAGAATTTTTTCAAACCTTGTCTAACAGCATCATCTTTCAAAATATCAAAGAAACCAAATCTTACTTGATGTTCTCTTAAAATACCAACCATTTGTCTGGAAAACCCACATTTTGGTTCAGATGGGGTACCTTTCATAAACAACATTACTGGAGCAGCAGCAGTTAGTTGTGTTAATCTTTCGTTTAATTGCTCTTCAGTTTCTTCTTCCTCCTCTTCGCCAACATCAGCACCTGATTGATCTGGGATATCACTATTAGATTCAGTTTTAGCAAAAGGAGAGGCAGTAGAGTGTGGGGAAGCACCAGTGATCAATTGTTTGAAAGCAGTCTCAAAATCTTTACCATCAGAAGAAGAAATTTCTTTCAAGATATTTCCATTTCTGATAAAAATGAAAGCTGGAACAGATTGGATTTCAAATAATTCAGCAATGTCACCTTGTTCATCTGCATCTATGCTCAAAAATAGACCATCATTGGTACTATTAGCAGCATTGGTGAAAGCTTCGCTAGTTTCATTACAATTGCTGGCCCAAGTGGCATAAAAGTATATAGTAATTAATTTGTTTGTTTCAGTTGTTGTCAAATGAGTAAATTGATCAGAAGATTCTATTTGAATAATAGCCATTTTTAATTAAATAAAAATAAATTAAATTAAATAATTAATGTATATATATATATGTTTGTTTATGGATTTATATGAAACTTTTCTTTTCTTTTTTTTTCTTTTTTTGTAATAAAACGTTATATATTTTCAAATTTTCTTTTTTTTTCTTGAAAATTAGATTATAAATGGTGTGTAATTTTTTTTTTTTTCGATTCATCAAATCATATATATATATATTTATATTTTTTTCTTTTTTTAAAATATATATTTTTTTTTTTTTTGGGTAAACAAAAACGTGACTTGTTACACTAACAGTTAGCAGAGATTACATAAGTATTCCAAACTAAATTAACTTCAGAGTCATAGCTTAAGCCAGGAATAGTTTTGAAAAATTTATTAAAGCAATCATCAATTAACTTGTCTGCAAATTCATCACCTTTCTCTCTTCTACATCTATTGTAAGCAGACCAAGTTGTTACATATTCTCTGAAATGTTTTATAGTAGCCCTTTTATGTAAATAATAATGTGGTTTGTCAGTGATTTCATCATTATCCAATAAAACTAAAGGATTTCTATCTGATTTAGTGGTGTATCTACTAACAGAGACATTTTTGAAATCTGATTGTTCAAGACTCTTTATGAAGAAATCATCTGTTAACAAGTCACTCAAATATTTTCTTCCAGGTTGATCCCAGTATGCACCAAATCCAGTTTCAAACCCTTTATCTAAATCATCAATGATCCCATCCAATTCAGGGTACTCTAAAATTCTAGTGTTAATATAACCGTACATAAACAAATTACCTTTACTTTTGGATAAAATTTTATAGGCATTAGCTAAGAAAGCAGGGAAATTAAACCAATGACAACATTGAACAGAAGTGATAACAGCAACATTGCTATTATCTACAAAATCTTTACCAAAATCTAATTCACTACCGATTTTAAATTCAATATTAGACTCCTTTGAAATAATTAGTTGTTGTTTTTCAGCAGCTTCAATCATTTTCAAAGAGGGATCAATACCAATGTATTTACCCCTTGGATTGTTTAAGAAATCGGCAGCTTGTAATTGGAAAGTTGCTGTTCCTGGTCCACATCCCAAATCTATTAGGATTGGTTCTTTGATTGAGGTAGCATTTTTATTTTGCAAGTATATAGCTTTCAATTTGTCATATAATTGAGGAGGATAATTAGGGCGACCATTAGCATAATTCTCCCCTGAAAATTTTGTATTAGAAAATTCAGACATTATTTGTGTTTATTAATAATGATTTGTTCTGGTTTTCTGTTTTTTTTGTTTTATAATTTTAATTTAATAAATTTTTTTACTAATTGATTAAATAGATTTACTTTCTGTTTCTCCTTAAATAGTTTTAAATATATTTAAAAATAAATGAATTAATATTAACGGCCCGTTTTTTTTCTTCCCAAGTTTAATACAAACTATTTAATCAATTAGATAGATTGTTTTGTTATTTTTTTTAAATGGATTTAAAATATAATATATAGGTTATAAATATGATCGGCCCGATTTAATATTTTCTTGATTCTTCTATTTAAAAAACAAAAAGGAATATTATAAGTTGTATTGGTTAAAGAAATCCTTTTGTACTGTAATATTTATGGCTCTCTTAAATTATATATTTAATAAACTATTTGATCTCTTTTTAATTCATAATATTAATTATGGATAAAAGGTTTCTTTCTCTCAATATATATTTATACTAGTATAATTGTTGAAAAAAATATTATATATAAACTCATCAATTAATTAAATTAAGAATATTAAAACAATGAAAGTAATATAAAGAATAAATTATTTATTGTATTTATTTTTTTAAAAAATAAAAAAAAAATTAAATGAACCTGCAGTGAATTGTACCTATTATATTCGTTATCATCTCTTATCAACTTTGACCCCTTATTTAATTTAATTTTTTTTTTTTTTTTAACGAATTGGGGGGGGGGGGAAAAAAAAAAAAAAAAAAAAAAACCTGAAATTCAAAATTTCTAGAGGTTCAACGATTAAAAAATTTGTTAAAAAAAGTAAGAAAAAACAAGAGAGGTCCATCGGAGATTCGAACTCCGGTTGTTCGGATGTTCTCACAAGCAAGTGTTCAGAACCGAAAGTGATAACCACTACACTAATAGACCTTGTCAAGAAAAGAACAACTCGATTTAGCTGTCCAATCTATTTACACAATAGTTATCACGTGGACAAAACAATTTTATTAAAAAAAACCCCCCCCTCCCAAATGACTCTAAAAAAAAAAAAAACAAACACACACACACACAAAATATCCAACTACAGTTTTGTTTTTTTTTTTTAATTAAATATATATTTATTGTTCTAACCTTTTTATATTTACCCCATATCAATTCTTTTGTTTTACCATGTGATAATTTTTATTTTTTAGTTTAAATTAAAATATTTAAACTAAAATTAAAAAAAATAAAATAAAAAATGATCCGGTTAAAACACTTTTATCCGACAAATTATATGCGTGTGTATATATGTTTGTTTGTTGTTTTTTTTTCTTCTCTCTTTCTCTCTCTCCCCCCCCCATTTTTTTTTGCGAGAATACCCCTTTTAAAAAATAAAAATAAAAATAAAAAAAAAATTTTATTTTTCCTTTAAATTCCAGAAATCTATTTAAAAAAAAAAATAATAAAAAAAAAGGACACACACTCTCACTCACACACAAAAATAAAAATAAATATATATATATATATATATATATATATATAAAATTTTTTTCTCTCTGTATTATAGATACATTTTTTATTTATTTAATATTTTTTATATTATATTTTTTTTTGCCACCTTAACATTTTTTTTTTTAAAAAAAATAAAAAAAAAAATTTTTGTTTTTGTTTTTGTTTTTGTTTTTAATTACTTCCTGCCTCTCTTTCATTTTCGATCCCTCAAGTTTATAAGTATTTTATTTTTATTTTTAACAATCAAACATAATTTATTAAATACTAAAATAATATTTAAAAAAAAAAACACTCTCTCTTTTTTACATTTTAATAAACTAATTTTAATAATAACAAAGAAAAAATAATCAAAAGATATTATTAATTATTACTATCAAAGAAAAACCTTTTTAATAGATAAGACCAAGACAAAGTATAACTTTAAAGAAAATAAACAAATAAACAAATAATAATAATAATGTCTGCCACTAGAGAAAATTATGTGTTTTTAGCTAAGTTAGCTGAACAAGCTGAAAGATATGAAGAAATGGTTGAAAATATGAAGAAAGTTGCTTCAACCACTTCTGAAGGTAAGGAATTAACTGTTGAAGAAAGAAATTTGTTATCTGTCGCTTACAAGAATGTTATTGGTGCTAGAAGAGCTTCTTGGAGAATTGTCTCAAGTATTGAACAAAAAGAGGAACAAAAACTAGAACAATTTTTACAACAACAAAAGGATCTAGATAACAACAACAGCAATAGTGAGGATAAGCAACAAGTTGCTTTGATCTCTGAATACAGAAGCAAAATTGAAACTGAACTAGCTCAAATTTGTGATGATATTTTAAATGTTTTGGATTCCCATTTGATCCCTTCCGCCTCCACTGGTGAATCAAAAGTCTTTTACTACAAAATGAAAGGTGACTACCACAGATACTTGGCTGAATTCTCTTCCGGTGACGTTAAGCAAAAGACCACTGATGATTCCTTAAAAGCTTATGAAAAGGCTAGTGAAATTGCCACTGCTCAATTACCTCCAACCCACCCAATCAGATTAGGTTTAGCTTTGAACTTCTCTGTCTTCTACTATGAAATTCAAAACAGTCCTGATAAAGCTTGTCACTTAGCCAAGCAAGCATTTGATGATGCTATCGCTGAATTAGATACTTTATCTGAAGAAAGTTACAAGGATTCTACATTAATAATGCAATTGTTAAGAGATAATTTGACTTTATGGACAAGTGATATGGCTGATGGTGCTGATGAAGAATAAATGAGAAATATGATGTACCCAAAAGTATTAATTAACAGATAATTTTTAAAACAGAAATACTATATATTTTTTTTATTTTTTTTTTTGTCAAAAAAAGAAAGAAAATATAACATGTAATATCTATTAATGTATATTCATTATTAGATATAATAAGATCAATTATATATCCATAATTTTTAAGAAAATTAAAAAAGAAAAAAAGAAAACAAATTACTATTAATAATAATAATAATAAATAGAAGAAGAAGAGGAAGAAGAAGCAGTTATAAAAAAGGCTTAGTTTATAAGAGTAATGAATAAGAAGGTTTAATCTTTCAAGCAATAGATTACAATGTATGCTTATCAAAGGTAAGAAAGAAGTGAAGTATGATATATACCATTAATGTTATAAGACAATTGAAATATTGCTCTATATATATTTATATATATTATCTAACAGATATGTAATTAATTAAGACTATAATATCAATAACAATTCTTTACTGTAATATTTTATTGTTATATATGACACTCTTTTACAATTGTTTGCCATTCACTCATTCTCTCCCTTGTAAATTTTAAAGGATGTATGATTATATATTTTTTTGTGTGTGTGTGTGTCTCTCTCTCTTTGAGGAAAAAAAAAAAATTTTTTTTTTTTTAAAAATTTTAGTGTTACATCACCTGTTATCAAAATTTAATAAATATTTTATTTTTTCAATTTATATGAGAGAAACAAAATTACTATTATTTGATTTTTTTTTTTTTTTGTAAACGAAATTGGTTTTATCAATTGATAGAACATGTCTTGAAAGGGAAATAAATCAATATAAATAAAGAAGATGATATTTTTTACAATGATTTCTTATTCATTTTTTTAAGTAAAAAGTTTTTTATCTTTTATTAAAAATATACATAAACCTAAAGCATTTGTACGTTTTTTTTTGTTTTTTTTTAATTATATATATATATATATGACTGAACTTTCATATTCAGAGTTTCAACTGGTGTTGATTCAATATTATTTTCAAAATATGTTATTTCTGCAAACTGAATCATATTCTATACGAACAGAAAAACAAAAAAAAAAGAATTTACTAATAATTCAACTCAAAAAAGAAGAGCAAGTGTTTTAAAAAATAAACTTTTTAAATCCAAGCTTAAACTTCTATCTCCAGAACCTACACATAATGATTTTTTAAATCTTTCAAAATATAAACAAAATGATATCTTTGATCATGAAAGTATTGTTTCTGCAGAAGACAAATTAAGTTTAACAAAATTTGAAAGTTTACCCCTTTTAAAATCAGAAAAAGATAACAATTCAATTTTAAAAAATGATAGATCGATGAAATTTGATTATTTTCCATTACCAATAGTTCAAACTAATGGTAAGTTAATCTACATAAACCTTTCTATTCCTATACTACAACAAGATACAAATGGTATAGATGGAGTTGAAAAAACATTTATCCTTACACCCTTTCATGATTTATATCAATTTTATAAACAAAAACAATATATAACAAACGGATATGTTATAATTCGACATGATACAAAAACTTTGAAATTAACCAATCATTATCTTCTATCAACAAAAAATCCAATAGAAACTATTATTCTGAACTATCAAAATACTTATAATTTTAATCTGATAGAGACAGAAAACACTATAATTCCTTTAAACCAACTTCCAAATTGGAAAATTTTAATATTATATCAAAATCAAATAAACCAGAGACAACTAAAACTAATAAATTTCTCAAAATTCTTGACTAAAAATAACACAATACATATAATTTTAAATGATAGATCACTTTTAATGTTTGATTTGAATTCAGGTTTATTAACAATCCCTTTCCATAATACTTGCATGCATAGAACAGATTTTCATAAAATAGAATATGACAATTTTTTAAAAATTTTATGTTTTAAAATGTTATTTTTAGAAGAAATTACTGTTTTTGTTAAACAAATCAATTATGATTGTATGAGATTTATAGATACTGTAAATGATTGGAATGGAGATAATTTTAATTTTTTTGAAAAAAAAATAATATGTATATACACAAAGAAATTATTTATAATGATGTTATTCTTTATGCAAATAAAGTCAAATATAATGGTGATAAAAGCAACAGTATATTGATTCTTTATTATGATAAATTTGAAATATACAAAAACATTCACAAACATAAAGTCAGAACATATTTAAACAATAATTTTGACTTGAAATATAAATTAATCCTTTCTGCCAAATGGTATGATGTTTGTTTTCCTGAGAAAAATCAATTTGATGATAAGGATAAAACTGATTGGTTTTTACTGTGTATTTCTTATATTATAAGAGATGGAATTGAAGTTGTGAGAAATCCTAAATTTATAAAATTTTCAAGTGAAACCATTCTGGAAAAACAGCAATGGTTTCAATATATATATTATTTAAAAATAATTATATAAAGAGTGATCAATTTTTATTGGAGGTGTGCTTTCATGTAATTTTGTAACACTCTGTTTTTGATGTTGATTGTTAAATTCATCTAACAAATCAATCCCAATATCATCAATTAATTTAGACCACCTTTTATTAGTATTATTGTTGTTGTTGTTGTTTGTGTTTATTTTTTTGTTTTTATTATGATTTTTGTCTGTTTCCATAGTGCCTATACTAAAAGTTGTATTATTACTATAAACACTACTGGAATCACCTATCATTATTAGAAATTAAATTAGAATCACCAGAATTTTGGGGTGTCTTATAAGAAGATACGCTCTTTCTATCTGCTGCTTCTTCTTCTTCTTCATCATCACAATCATCCTGTCCAAATTCAATATCAAAACTATAACATATTATCTCCATCAAATCCATCCATGTATTAATCTCGACTAAGTCAGTTATAAAATCACTATAATCAACATTCAAATAGCCAATGTGAACTTTTAACAAGTTTTCTTGAGACCCAAAAAAATCTTTAAACAAACAATTAGTGTTTTCTTTCATCTCACTATTACTTAAAACAACTATTCCTATATCATTTTCAGTCTCTGAGTAATATTTTTGCATCACTAAAGATGACCACAAGTTGCCATTTAATTTTTTACCTCTTATTTGAGTAAAACTTATTAAACCATTCAATTGGCATAATATATCATTTGCTGTTCCTATAGACAAAATTTTTAAAGTTTCATCTAAAACAACAATTCT